CCCCCCCCGGAGCACTATGAAGTAGTTCCGAATCGCACCCTGCGGGCCCTCGTCGCGGTACAGCTTCCGCCGAGCTCCGGCTCAACCCTCGGGATCGGCCACTGCACGCTGGAGAGCTTAGGCACCCGCCCCAAGCACCGGCCAAGCACTGCCCTCTATGACCCTTGAGCCTTGAGCCAATTAGGGTTTAGGGTTTAGGGTTTAGGGTTTAGGGTTTAGGGTTTAGGGTTTAGGGTTTAGGGTTTGGGGTTTGGGCTTTCGGCTTTAAGGGGTTTCAGGGGTTTCGAGGTTTTGGGCTTTCGGCTTTAAGGAGTTAGGGGCTTTCGGCTTCAAGGGGTTTAAGGGGTTTAAAGGTCCGAGGTTTCGGCTTTCGGGCTTAAGGGTTTTGAGGGTTTGAGGGTTTTGAGGGTTTTGAGGGGTTTTGAGGATTTAGGGTTTAAGGGTTTTGCGGGTCTAGGGTTTAAGGGTTTAAGGGTTTAAGGGTAAGGGGTTTAAAGAGTTTCAGGGTTTGAGGGCTTTCGGGTTGAGGGTTTAATTAAGGGCTTCAGGGCTTGAGGGGATTAATGGGTTTAGGGCTGAGCGGTTTAAGGGTGAGCGAGTTTGTGTTGGATCGGAAAGAGCTGTACGTCGAGCTCTGAAACCAGCCGTTCCAGTTTCAAAGCCCTCCCCAAACCCTAAACCCTAAACCCTAAACCCTGAACCCAAAACCTTATTCTAGTTATTAAGGCCCCTACATTGTATAGAACCACAAAGCACTGCGGAACCTCTACCGTGCGGGCCTGCAGCCCCTCCGTGCCGAACCATCCTGCACCCTGTTTAGGGGTTTAGGGGTTAGAGTTTAGGGTTTTAAGGTTTAGGGGTTTAGGGGTTTAGGGCTTAGGGTTTTAAAAATTTTTGGGTCTAGGGTTTAGGGCTTTAAGGTTTTTGGGTTTAGGGTTTATGGTTTTAAGGTTTTTTGGGTTTAGGGTTTTAAGGTTTAGGGGTTTAGGGCTTAGGGTTTTAAGGTTTAGGGGTTTAGGGTTTAGGGTTTAAGGGTTTGAAGGTTTAGGGGTTTAGAGTTTAGGGTGTTAAGGTTTAGGGGTTTAGAGTTTAAGGTTTCTAGGGAACCCTGAAACCTCAACTCGAAGCCCCCAAATCCACCCCCAGATCCTCAAACCCTAAAGCCGACACCCGAAACCCGAAACCCTGACACCTAAACCCCTAAACCCTCAACCCTGAAACCGAATTTTAAGCGCCTTAATAAAAAGAATCGGTTTTTGGGGCACCTTCGACCATAATTATGATAAGGAACCCCCCAAAAATAGTATAGGTTTTTTATTTAGGCCCCTATATTAAACCCCCTACACCCTAAACCCTAAACCCCTAAACCCCAAACCCCTAAACCCCCAAACCCCCTAAACCCCTAAACCCCAAACCCCAAACCCCCAAAACCCAAAACCCTGAGCCCTGCCAGGGAGCCAAGGACTGGCGCCCAGAGTCCTGGAAAGAGCGCAGTGGAGTTGTTGGTTCCCAGAGACTCCAATATTCCTTAATTTAGGGTTTGGGGTTTAGGGTTGAGGGTTTAGGTTTAGGGTTTAGGGTTTAGGGTTTAGGGTTTATAAGGAAGATTCCTTAAATCATACTAAGGATCCTTAATATGGTGAGGCGCAGTGGAGGGACGAAGGTTTCAGGTGCTGGGTTCCTTATGCTGGGTTCAGGGTTTAGCGGGTTTAGGGTGTAGGGTTTAGGGTTTAGGGTTTAGGGGTGCAGGGGTTTAGGGGTTTAGGGTTTCGGGGTTTAGGGTTTAGGGCTTCGGAAGTTTTCGGCTTAGGGTGTAGGGTTCAGAATGTACGGGTTTAGTCGGATGTAGGGTTGAGGGTTTGGGAGTTTAGTAGGGTTTAGGGTGAAGGGTTTGGGGGTTTAGTCGGATTTAGGGTTGAGGGTTTGGGGGTTTAGTCGGATTTCGGGTTGAGGGTTTGGGGGTTTAGTCGGATTTCGGGTTGAGGCAGCTCGTTGCGCAACGGATGGGTCCTCCGTGCATAACGAGGTGCACGATCTCCTCGCAGCCATCCGCCTCCGGGAGTATCGGGTCAAGATAGGGGGACTTAGTCTTTCATGATTTTGGTATCAGTTTTGCAAAAAAAACCTGAGGACACGTCGTGGGCATCAGCCGGGTCTGGGAAACAAGGGCGCATGCTTCCAAGAACCCTAAACCCTAAACCAACCCTAAACTCTAAACCCTAAACCCTAAACCCTAAACTCACCAAACCATGCTTCTAAGAACCAAAAAAGAAGGAAACTGAGCACCTCTGAAGATCCTCTCGCCCAAAACGACGCGACACCTTGGGCGAAACCTTGGAATCTGCCGCCAGAAACCCAACGGAAGTTACACACTGATGCAGAGGCCTTAATAAACAGAATAGGGTTTTGGTGGGTTCCTTATTATAATTCTAGTATACTCTCCCCTAAACCCTAAACCCTAAAACCTAAAACCTAAACCTCAACCCTATTCTAATTCAGGCGCCTACATTAAAACCCCGAAGAACCTTCGAGCTTCGGGCTTAGGGTCAGCCTAAAGCCCCAAAAACTCTGAACCCTAAAACCCCTAAAGCCCTAAAGCCCTAAAGCCCAGCCCCAAAAACTCTGAACCCTAAAGCCCTAAAGCCCTAAAGCCCTAAAACCCCAACCCCAAACTGGTTTCGCGGACCCCCGGCCCGGCCTCGCTCGGAAGCAGGCGCAGGGCTTCACGGCCCAGCCGGGACACCGTGATCTGCACCTCTCTTTTAGGGTTGTAGGGCTCATAGGGTCTAGGGTTGTAGGGTTTAGGGATGTAGGGTTTAGGGTTTAGGGTTTAGGGTTTAGGGTTTAGGGTTGTAGGGTTTAGGGTCTAGGGTTTAGGGATGTATACGGGTTCTTATAGGGCTTTAAAGGGCTTTAAAGGAGTTTATGATCTGCACCTCTCTTTTAGGGTTGTATACGGGTTCTTATAGGGCTTTAATGGGCTGTAAAGGAGTTTATGATCTGCACCTCTCTTTTAGGGTTGTATACGTGTTCGTATAGGGTTTTAAAGGGCTTTAAAGGAATCTATGATCTGCACCTCTTTTTCAGGGTTGTATACGGGTTCTTATAGGGGTTTTAAAGGGCTCTAAAGGAATTTACAACTTGTTCCAGGGCTTCTTGGACGGTTTTAAGCAGCTTTATGGGTGTTACAAGATTCTTGCAAAGAGTTGAAAGGCTTGAAAAGTTTTAGATGGCTTCCTGAAGAGTCTCTCTTAACAATGGGAATTGAACCCTAAACCCGAAACCCTAAACCGTAGACCCGAAACCCTAAAATCCTAAAATTAGGGACACCATTCCCAGGGTCCTCCACAACAAGGATCCTTCTCAAGCCGGGTCTCCGACAGGTGGCTCAAAGGTGGCTCTCAGGGCGCGTCGAACTTGCTGACTTAATATATATATATATATATACACACATGTATGTATAAAAAACATGTAGTTGCAAGTATTTGAGGGTGCAAAGGTTGGGGAAGCGAACACGGCCTTTTTGGGAATCCAGTCGCAGGATCTTCGCCGGCAGCTCCCTACAAACTACGGAAACAGTGCACTTGCGGCTGGTTTGCAAATAACCCCACGGAGCCTTGAAGATTCTTGCCAAGATCTGCAGGTCCACGTAGTCCAGAGGCACTCGTACAATGCAGGGGTAGGACAAGTCCTTTGGGATTTGGGAGTCGGTGACATGTTTCGAGACGGTGGTCGAAATCTGGAAACAGCAGCGTTTAGGGTTTTGGGTTGTGGGCTTTGGGCATGCATTCCCAAAAGCCTGGAGGCACTCGAGCCTGAGCCTCTGTTTGCCAAATTGCTCTCCAGACCGTTGCAGTGCATGTCAGGAACAACCACACACACACACACGCTCAACGGAGGGAAGTCTACGAGTCTTGCCCGAAACTAAAGCCACACATTGTCAGACGAGCAGAAGCTAGATCATGTAGTATATACAACTCAGCATACAGTATACGGAAAATGTATAGTACATAGTATATCGTATATCGTGTCGTATATAGTCTATGATCTATAGTATATAACATACATAGCAGCAACATGAAGAAGCAGAAGCAAGGGTTTCTCGGCCAGACATATGTTGGACGCCGTACTGGCATTGATATGGGTAGTTCTCGAAATTAGGGTCCCCTTTTAGGTCCCAATCTAGTACGGCACCCTTGAAAAAGGATCCTAAAAGAGACCCAAGTTAAGAGAACCATCACTATGTTTCTTGAAGCCAAGCTCTTCAGTCCCAGGTGCAGGATACTTGTCCCAATGAAGACCATTCGAGGTGAACTCACGACTTTCGAAAGTCAGACAGTAGAGGTACCACTTCCAGTGCTCCAGCACCTGTCAGCGAGGTGGCTCTTCCAGAACTCGAACAAGAAATGCTGCATATATTATATACTATATACTATATACTATATAGTTACAATACACTTTTACTGTAGGCTATATACCATATACGGTATACAATATAAAATGTACTTTATGCCAAATACTGTATACCATATAGTATATACTATATACGATAATCGATATACGATATACGATGTATTGTACTCTATACGATGTCCGATATACTATGCACTGTCTACTAGATGCTACCATTTACAATACACTATATACTGTATAGTATTTACTATATACTACACGATGTACTTTGTACTGCGGTTCCCTAAACCCTAAACATCCGAAGACCTGACCCCCAAACCCCGAAACCCCTAAACCCAAAACCCTAAACCCTAAACCTTAAACCCTAAACCCTAAACCCTAAACCCTAAACCCTAAACCCTAAACCCAAAACCCTAAACCCCTAAACCCCTAAACTAAGGAAGTGGCAGCCAGGCACCTCAGTCGTGTTTGGAAAGTGCCCGAGCTGGAAGATGGACAGCTCGTCCTGATCTCAGCTCAGTTCAGGGTCTGGGTTTGAGGGTTTGAGGGTTTTGGGTTTGAGTTTGAGGGTTTTGGGTCTAGGGTTGAGGGTTTGAGGGTTGAGGGTTTAGAGTTGAGGGTTTAGGGTTTAGGGTGTAGGGTTGAGGGTACGGATGCACCGGACTCTGCAACCCCCTACTGTACCCCTAAACCGTCTCCTTCAGCTTCGCCTCCGCCACTACCCGCAGCACAGCTTCAGGCATCTCCTGCAGTGGCATGTTAGGGGTTCAGGGGCTCCGGGTTTAGGGTTCTGGGTCCAGGGTTTAGGGTTTAGGGTTTAGGGTTCAGGGTTTAGGGTTTCTTCAGCAGCGCGACAAACACAACAACCCAGGAACAAGACTCACCCGACACTTTTTAAGCAGATCAAGAGCTGAAAGAGCTTGGACAACAGCCGGTTTAGGGTTTAGGGTTTAGGGTTTAGGGTTTAGGGTTTAGGGTTTAGGGGCTCCTTGTAGGCATGGACCAGCGATTTTCGGAGGTCCGCCTCTGTGATGGGATCCTTGGGTAGTGGCGCTGGCTGTGCTTGGGGTAGAACCTTCTGGACCCAGAGACTCCAATATCCCTTAACTAAGGAATACTCCTTAAGTTATAGTAGGATCCTTAATATGTTTTAAGGTATATCCCTTAACTAAGGAATATTCCTTAAGCTATAGTAGGATCCTTAATATGATTTAAGGTATATTCCTTAACTAAGGAATGTTCCTTAGGTTATCGTAGGATCCTTAATATGATTTAAGGTATATTCCTTAACTAAGGAATGTTCCTTAAGTTATAGTAGGATCCTTCATATGATCCGAGGTATATTCCTTAACTAAGGATGTTCCTTAAGTTACAGTAGGATCCTTAATATGATTTAAGGTATACTCCGTAATTAAGGGGTATTGGAGTCTCTGGGGAACTGACATCGGAGCTCTGCGAGGCAGGAGCTGAAAACAAGCGCGAGCGAGCGGCCAATCCGAAACCGACGACATCGCGGCACCGAGCTGCAAGCGGAAAAAAAAAAAAAGGCTCTCTGCTCCCGAAATGGGAGTTTCCGAAAATTGGGGGTTCCTTCTTTGGGGGTCCTTATAATAAGGATCCTACCATTTGCTGTACTATATTAGGGTCCCCTATCTTCGGAAACTCCCAAA